ATAAAAGAATGTTCAGCTAGGACACAAAGGCCACATTGACTTACATATGCCTGCTCACATAAACCTGCATATATTTGCAGTGTCCACCAGCCTATTGATCCCAGCATATTACAATTTTGGATGTCTCATTTGATAGTTATAAAACTAATCTTTTAAAAAGGTATGAAAATGAAAAGAAAAATTGTACAGCAATACTTTTTGTATTCCTCTATTCCTCCATTCCTCTTCCTTGTTTACTGATCATGTTAATTTAGACCTTTAAATATATCTGGAACACAAGACTAAAAAAATAACACACACTTACAGTTTAGTAATACTATGACAGACAAAACATTTTAGGCATCCATTTCTATTGCTCTTAAACACTGACATGATCTCTAAAAATTCTGAGAGAAAACTTTTTAGCCAGTAACAAAAATCAATAGCTGGCGGCACATACTTTAGACCGCAGGCAGACTAGAAGTTACTTGAAGACCCTGTCCATTTTTGGTAAAGTAGAAAGAGATCAAGAAGGACCACATTCTCAAATCTAACTGTGACAATAATTTGAACATAAATCTGGAAATTCAGGATTTCTGAAATCCAGGCCTTAGACACCTACGTAGAGATGCAATCATGAACTTTCGGATCTATACTTTTCAACATTTATTTAAATTTCACATCAATGCATAAGAAACCAGTGTTTGATCCTGAATAATTCAGAAAAACTTGTCTTATCCTCCCAAAGGAGTGATTCTGGGGGTGCTCTGAGATCCTTTTAAGGGTGATGTTGGGTGGCATGCAACATTAGCACTGTTTTGTATATGAACATGGTTCACAAGATAAACCTAGAATTTTCAAGTCCATTATGTTAAAAACAGTGCGATCTGCTGTGATCTTTCTGAGTTCTTTGCAACAGAAGAATTGCTCTATTATTTTTCTGTAGTCAAAAAGTAAAATCGAAGAGCTAGAATTTTCTGAGGGGTGCCTCAAATAACCTGTTTCCAGCCAACACAGGCATGCTGAGAGCCTGAGCCACTCCTAACCTCCACCTACCTCACACTGCAAGGAACAACTGTGCAGGGAGCCCAACTCCACTGGGGGCAGTGGCACCTGAGTTCTTCTTTTCAGCACCTGCTCCTGGCCAGCAGGGCTGATGGGGATAGAGGAAACAGAACCAGGATCAGCGGTGGGATCAACACTACTGCACTCCATCCCCATATCCACCCCCTCTGCAGTCAGATGTGGCAGGACCTTCTAGACTAGCAGTAAGGATCCACTAGGCCAGGCAGGGGGTAATACAGAGATCATCCAGCAGCACAACACAGCACACAGTGGCAGCCTGTCTGGCAAGGAGGTACACAGCATGGCAGCAGCACACAACAGCAAGGGATGCAGCAATACAGCATGTAGGGGTGAAGAACCCAACAAGGAAGCACCTGGCACAGCAGCAGCAAGGGACCCGGTAATGCAACATGTGGCACTGGGTAGGCAGCTGGGAGGCGGTAGGGAAAGCAGAGGATTACAGGGCCTGGTCACAGCTAACTGGCCAACATTTAAAAAGATAGGAACCTAAATTCTGTGGAGCAAGCAGTGGCATGGAAACTCCCAGTATTGTCATCATGACAGATCATGTAGAAAAAACAAGAATAATACAAATGTGAAAGTATTGAAAGGAATGAGGTAGAAGATGAGAGCAGTGGACAGAGTGAGGATGCAGGTGAAAGTGACCAGTCTTAAGTTGTGGGATCTAAGAAAGAAGGACTTACCAAATTTTCTGGACAGAAAATAATATAGATTAAAGTATTTTTCTGTTGCATGTATGACTTAAGTTTTTGTCAGTAAGTCTTTTTATAATAAAAAAGACAAGTTAAAATTTTCCATGTGTGACATTTAATTATTGGGAGGTTATTTTAAATTCAAGACCATCTGGTTCCTTACTGGTTTGGGGGCTGTTGAGCAGGGTGAAATGGGAATGGGATCATATTTAGCATTTTCAGTGCCAAAAACCTGTCTCCATACCATTTAAAAACCTGAAAGTTTGTAAGGTGACCACATGTCCTGTTTCAGTACAGGCAGTCCAATTTTAAACTTCAGTCCCACATGTCAGTTTGGTCATTTTGAATGCTTTTGTCTCATTTTCAGAAGCCACACACACAAGCACATACTCTCCATCATGTTGAACTGAAACTGGAGCTTGGGGACAACTGAGCATGCTGGCGAGCCAAATGTCTTATTCTGAGACTTGGAAAATATGGTCTCTCTAGCCTCAGCACAAGGACAGGATACTCACTCTTGCCACCAAAGAAATAAGCTCTACTATCCTACCCTCAACATGCATGTGTCAATTCTAGGGTGTCCCCTCCTTGCCTCATTTCTGGGGCCACCCTTGGCACCACAGTAGACCTGGGTTTCCTCTGTGCTCAAATATATATGCTTCTCTTTTTATAAGGTATTCCTGACAACATTTTGAAGATGGTCTCAAATAATAATTTTATACAAACAACTGAAAGAAAATATTGCTTACAGCTTAGTAATATTATTACCATAATATTGTTTACAACTTAGTAATACCATTGCAAAATGACAAGTGCCGAAATAAAGCCCATGTCATGCAATATTTATCTCTGTGCCATAGAGAATTATAGGGTTGGAAAAGACTTCTAGTCCAACCCCCACCACTAATGCAAGGTGCACTACTAGCAAATCATCCAAGGCTTCCTAGCCCATCTGTGAAGAAAACTTCAAAGGAGATTCCACAACTTTCCTGGCCAACCTGTGCCCAAGCTTGGGCAGTAACTTGTTATAATAATTTCTAACACCTTTTAACCCCACAGGGTAACAGCTATAAAGCAATATTATGAATGGCTATATAACTAAAAATTAGCATAATTAAAATATAAAAGAATACACACGTCATAGTAACCATCGGGAAGGACAGAACAGAAAGGTCATTGCTGTCCCATACCCCAGAGATATCTCTTACTCCCTGTGAGAGTGAGAACCAGATCCTGACTGAGGGGCTTCCACCGGTATCCTTCGAGCAGCCCAGTTCAGAGACGTCTGACTTTGCCGATTCAACTTGCCATGCATCTTCTAACCAAGGGACTACCGATAAGTTACTAACCAAGTGAGAACTCTTGGTTAATTTCTTTATCTATTTTATTATCATTGTCAATTTTAATCTGTATTGTTGTCTGCTTATTAGCTTAACCTTTTTATTAACTATTATATGTGCAAACTATATCTTTTGTTGTCATAAGTAAAATTTATTCCTTTTTGTAAGTGAAACTTGTCATTTCTTTCCTTTCCAACATCACCTTCTCGATCCTGAACCAAAAAGCCCAGTGGCTAATAAAGTTGCAGTGCTCAGTCAGTCTGCAACTAAATTGATATACTCACAGTGCCCAGCTGGCCTGTGACACTTGCATCAAAACATCTGACCTACATGAAAACAGGCCAGAGCAGCTATTTATACCAGCAGCATGAATGACAAGGAAATCAAATCAGCCTGCTTCTCCCATGTCTAAGTACCTGTGAAGTATCCAAATTAGCACCTCACCCCAGGCCAGTGAGCTTCCCCTTCTGTAGGATATCAGGATAAGAGGTGTTGTCCCAGGAGAAATCCCACCTGTTTTCACAGTTATGGGAGCCGAGGATTTCAGGTCAGGCCTCCTGACCGTTTCTTCACAGCTGCTTCTGCAGGTCGTCCTGATCCATCGTCCGAGTTAGCACACCTGGCCTGCTGGGCGTGATCCCATACCTGAAACAGACACAACCCACTTTCCGAGTCAAAGCCTTTTACAAAGCTGAGACCCAAGGGAAGCGGCAGCCCGTACGCCTACGCCAAGCACCCACCCCGTCCCACAGGCTCCCCCCAGCCCCAGCACAAGCAGGGCTCGCTGCAATGACCGGCCACCTGTAGATGCCTCTTCCGACACGAGCCCCAGGTGAGGACAACCAGCCCCGGGATAAGCCCCACCGCTATGCAGCTGCCCCCACACGCCCGCCAGCGCGGGGCGGGCAGGGGGCAGGCGCAGCGCACTGCTAGGCCCGGCGGGACAGGAAGGGGACAGTCCCGGCCGGAGCAGGAGGAACCAGCTGGGCCCCAGCCAGGCGCCCTCCCGCCCGCAAAATGGCGCGCGGTGCACCAGCCCGCACCTCCCCGCCGCCCGGGCGGCCCCTCACCTCGTCCCGCTGAGAACCTGCTGCCGCCTCACTGACACCGGAAGAGGCCGCGACGCCGCTGCCAGCGCTCGGCGAGGGCCGCCCCGGGGCAGGCGGAGCTGCTGCCCGCCCCGCCCCAGCTCTGTCCGCTGCCCCCGGCCGTGGGAGTGCTCTTAGTGGGGCCGCTTCCCTTCCCCCACGAAGGACCGCTCCAGGGGTGCCACGCAGCTGAGCCCGCCGCTCTGGGCAGCCGAGCCCCGCGTCCCTCACGAAGTATTGGGTGCACGAACCCGTGCACGCCCCTCTGACCCCCGCCCTGCCTGAAGTTTAAAACCAACCGCCTGGCAGCGGCAGCATTTCTAGTCGGCCGCAGTGAGGGAGTCTAGTAATGCGACAGCTCGGAAACGCCATGTATCTGGGTCCACCAAGGCAGTTTTCCTGAAGCGTTCCTGGGGATCCCTGTTCTCCTGGCGCGGTTTCCTACCCGCTCGGGTGTTGGGGCTTAAAGCCCACTTTATGGAAATGGGAGGTTCCTCCCTGGCTTGCTCCTGCGGCCATGTGGCTGAGGGCAGGCAAAACTCAGTGGCATCCAAACCCCAAGCCTCCAGGCTTGGGCCCTCACGGAGGATGCTTGCCAAAGGATTTGGAAACATCTGAAGCCCCTGGTGGGGATGAAGGATGTTTGCCAGTAGTAGGGCCACTTGTGGTTCTGGACTCTTGGATTTGGAATTAGTTTTGGTAATTTGGCCTTGGATACAAATTAAAAAGAAATAAATCTCCAGATACTTACCTGGCAGGGTCCATGAAGGCAGTTTTCTTTAAGTGTTCCCGGGGATAACAGTTCTTCTGACATGGTTCAGTACCCACCGAGGTGTTGGGGCTTAAAGACAGGAAGAGTGTCCGGGACACTGCTCCGCTCCCCTGCATGGCCTCGGGTGGCATGTCCCACAGTGTCCCCTCGCTGGGGCAGGCAGCAGCTCCTCCTCCCCAAGGTGAGGCAAGGCAGGGATGGAGGCTGGTGGGGGGGGAGGGAGGCTGGCGCAGGCTCCGCCAGCTCCTGGGAAGTGCTCCACTCCCCGGCCCTGATGCAGGGGATCAGAGCACTTCCTTGGAGCCTGCGCCAGGCTCCAGCTCTGGCTCTGGCCCCCAGCTCCAGCCCCTAGCCCCCAGCCCTGGCCCCAGGCCTCCAGTCCCCATCCCCTTCGATATGTGTCCCACGCCAAACCAAGACTGCACTCATGGTCCGAGGCGGTGCACTCACAGACTGCTACTCCTTAGAGGGGAACATTGGTCTGGATACCAGGATGGCCTGTGAAATCTGGGACTGTTGTGGCCAAACCAGGACATACGGACATCCTAATTATAAACTACCTGATTCCTCCTAAACTCTTCACTCCATGGATGTTAAGGACCCTTTCTCCTTTTTTACTTGATCCTGATGTTCCACTAATCAAGCTATCCTTTGTTCTGCAATGCTGCTGCCTGCTAGCTGCTTCTGGTCATGAAGCTCCTATTTCACAACTCAGCAGAGGATTTTTAACTCATTCCAGTGAAGTTATATTGGTTTTTACTTCAATCTTAAACTGAATCAGGCTCCTAGCATATTAGTAAAGCTAATTTATTTTAACTGGCAAAAAATATGCATTGTTTTATATAACCCTGGCTGCAGGACTACCTGCAAAACCCAACTCTGGATCCTTGGAGGTGCCCACAGCCTGGAACCACCTGCCCTCCTGGAGTTAGGGAGGTTCCCCTCACAGCAAGGCACCTAGTGCCCCTGGACCTTCAATTAGACACCCCACAATTTCCAGCTATGTACACTTTATCAGTTGTGTATTAATTATTTTCCTTTTCTTTAACCCTTTGTAAATAAAGTGTCAGAAGCTTATTTACACCCTCAGTCAATAATGTACATGATGGTGTGTGTACATGCATAGCCTGAACCAGATACCCAGAAAGGTGCAGCTTCCTGTGGCAAGTGTGGGCAGGTCCTTGCTGTGAGAGTCTCACGAGACATGCCCCAGGGATTGCTGTGCTGCAGGCAGGTGTTCTCTAGCCAAAATTCCTGTAAAATAGCTTACCCTGCCTAGACCCTTGTCCCCTGACACCCCAGGAGCAGGGTCTGGGCTGGAGCTCTGACAACCTCCCCTGCCAGCATCTGCACATACCCACTTGCCAGGCAGTCAAAGTTCACCCCCCTCGCTCAGGTCTTAACTATGTCTCACAGGGGCCCTGCCCTGTGAGAGAGCAAACATACCCTAGCTCTGCCTCCCACCAAGAGCTCACAGTGAGCTGAATCAATCTTTCTCCAGTCCCCACTCCCCCCCCTCCAGTGCACCTCACAGCACACAGGGGCTTGGAGAAGAGTCCTTCTCGCTTGGGGGTCTCCAGAAGGGCTGGCTGCTCCTCCAAGCAGCTCGGGCAGGTCTCTCAAGAGAAAAGGAGCAAGAGAGGTGCTGCAACTGGGCTTCCCAGCCCTCCAGCCTGCACCACAGCCCACACTGTCTTCAGGCTCTGGCAGCTGTGAGGATGGGATGTGGTGCCCAAGCTCTCCCTCAGCCTCTGATCTTCTCTCCCAGCTCTCCAGAGTGGACTTCATCTGCCCTTATCACAGGATCTCCGAGGAGCTGTGGTGTTCCATGCTGCTGCCTGGCTGAGTTCATCCTGGAACCATTGTTGGTTATGTCTATATGTGGTGATGCACCTCACCAGCTGCAACTCTCTTTTCAAAATTCTAGATCTGCCCATGCCTGTGAATGATTTGAATTAACACTTTACCATGGAACAATCCAAGCTAATTCGACTTAATTGCCACTTAAGCCTAATTTATAAAGGGCTGGACCAGGCCCAGAGAGAGCTAATATGACTCATATCAACCTTGTCTGTTCTTAGTCTACCTGTCCCTTGATGCCTGCTGGCCTGGGATTCTCAGGATATACCACAGCAGTACACCAAGAAAGTAGACTCTCATGTATCATAGGCCACGTAGATCAGCATGGGAGGCTGAGGGCATGGAGACATCAGCTTTTCCATATAATCATTTTTCATTTTCAGCTGAAAATACCAAGTTTCCAGTGAAAATGTTTCAGGCTTTGGACAAAAGCTGTTCAGTTTGTAAGAATATGTAAGGGAGAAACAGTCCACATAACTTAAATTACTGGCGCAGAATTTTTTTTGGAAATACAACACTTTTCTAATAATTTTGTAAAAATTTTTTTGGAAAATACAACAATTTGAAAAAGGGGCAGTAAATTAATTGATGCCCACATTCATTGTCTGCAAATGCTGTCTTAATATCCTTGCAACCTTTATGAGTAGACAGAGCCATATCCCATCCTGCAAAGTTCAAAAGAACCCCCAACCCCCAGCCTGCCAGCAGAGTTTATTAGTTTATGCATATCGCCATGCTGCTTTTGGGTCTGGACGTACCAGTTCCAACAACAGCACTCCCACTCACCTTTTGCCATGTGGTCTTGTACCCATGATGATACTGCCACTGAGTATTAGTTAAGAATATTATTGCTACAACTAAATGTAGAATAATGAAACATTCATGTTATTTTAATAGGTATTCATCTAGAAAGAAGCAATAGCATTTACATATTATTATTTTTTTAATTGTTAGTGGCTAAACTATAAAATATTTATCATATTTACACATAACCACATTGCCCAGTGTCATATCAGGCCCCACAGGAGCAGGAGGGAGAAACTTCTACAGAAGTTGGCAGCTAAGGATATTGTGAGAAGCTGTGATAGAAGAAGGGTGGGAAAGCCTGCAGAGGGGCTGCAAAGCCTGCAGAGGGGCTTTGTCCAGCCCATGCTGGATCCCTTGGTCCACCGGCTGAGGGACCCAGCGTGGTGTGTCCCGCTGCCCCTTGGGAACACAGCAGGGCTGGTGTGGCTCATCAGTTGAACTGCCTTTCTAGGCAGCCAGAACAGCGGTGGCTCCTTCTGGCTGCTGCCACTGCTGACACCAGCCCCAGAGTAGAGATGGGGACCAGCGCGTGCAGCCCCAACCCTGCGTGTCTGACACCTGCTCCGGGCTCGTCCGTCCGGGCTGAGCAGCAGCAGGACAGAAACTGCTGCTCAGCACAAGGTAAAAGTGGCACCTCCCCCTCACCACTGCTGGCACTTCCTGGGACAGCTGCCTAGACCCCGCATGGGGCTGCCCTGTGTGTATGCTGTGTCACCACCATCACTGGGCTGCCCAGCAAGGCAGCAGTGGCAGCGCAGAGCAGACACAGGGCAACCCTGTACAGGCTCTGGGCAGCTACACCAAGGGCAGGGGCAGGTGTTGACTGCCTCAAGAGGACAGCTGCAGAGGGCTCCCATGTACACATCACCATACCCACAAACCCTCCCCCACACAACTGCACACTCCACAAACACCGCATCCACCCACAACCTCCCCCCCCCACACACCCATGCACCTCTGGGGGGAGCCCCACTCACTGCTACACACACACCCCCCCTGGCGCTGCCCATGCCCCACACTCC